AACTTCCCAACAAAATACAACAATTTTTTGGGGAATAGGCCTAGATCAAACTTCCTTAACTGGGAAAGCCCGAGGAGAAGAACTGGAGCAGAGGGAATTAAAGAAAGAAGCACAAGTAAACAACCCTTATTGATCAAAAAAAAAAAACAAGTAAACAGCCCTTTCGGAGTCAAAGTCCAAATCCTCCTATCAAGATTTAGTGGGTCCAGGCAAGCAGAATCAAGTAACAATAGGAGCTAAGAAATTGACAAGGATTCCTCATCCCTCAACCCTCTACGGAATCCAAGGTCCCAATTTGTCGACAAAGGGGTATACGGGGGCAAAATAAAGGAAGACACAAGTTATTTTTTATAAAGGGAAATAGAGAAGAGAGAAGGGAACAGATCCTTAAGGGGCAAATTTCCCACCCAAGTGTCTTCCCAGAAAAGAATACAAGTCCCAGAGCAAGATTCATACCTTACAAAGCATAGGAACTGTGGGAGGATACCATGAATTGCCTTCCAAGGTGTTGCAAGAGTTGCTCGTCTAGATATCCCTGCATCCCAACCATTTCCAGAATAGCCATGGATACTTGCCACCACTTCATGCCATAACCCCTCCCTCTCTAAAGGCCACCTCCACAACCACTTACCTAGAAGGGCTACATTCTTGAAAGTGATATTCCCTATTCCTAATCCTCCTTCCTCCTTACTTCGACTAACTATTTCCCATCTAACCAAATGATCCTTCTTCTCTTGCCCCGGCTCCCACAAGAAGTTCCTCATCATTTTCTTTAACCTATTAGCTTCCCTAGCAAGAATCTTAAAGACAGACAAAAAGTAGACCGACAGATTAGCAAGTGTGGATTTGATCAAAGTCACTCTACACCCACAGAGATATAATTCTTTTTCCAGCTTCCCAACTTCTTACCAAACTTTTCCACAACGGGGATCCAAAAGCGGCTTTCCTTTGGGTTACCTCCTAGGGGAAGACCTAGATAAGTTAAGGGCCAGGAAGAGGTGGAGCACTCTAAGCAACCATAGCCTCTATTTCTTGAGCATCCATATTGACTCCCACCACACAACTTTTTTCAAAGTTGATTTTTAGATTTGAGGCCTTTTCAAAAGAATTAATTAAATTCTTAAGGTTCCCAAACTTCCTCAAATCGCTTCCTTCACAAAAGATTATAGTATCATCTACAAACTGAAGGTGAGTCACAGGCACACTATTTCTTCCTATTCTCCAACCACTCACAACCTCCTCCATGTTTGCTTTTGATATCAATCTACTTAACACATCAGGAAAAAGAGTGAATAAAAAGGGGGAGAGTGGATCACCTTGTCTTAGGCCTCTATAAGCTGGGAAGAAATCCTTAACTACTTCATTGACAATGATAGAATAATGGCAAGAAGTGAGACAACCCTTGATCCACTTGCACCATCCTTCCCCAAATCCACACTCACTTAGCACCTCTAAGAGGAAGCTCCAGTCCACCATATCGTAGGCTTTTTCAAGATCCAATTTGCAAACAAAGACCTTCTTACCCGATATCTTCATCTCCTCCACACATTCATTAGCTATCAAAATCTGATCTACTATTTGTCTACCTTGTACAAACACACCTTGAGCTTGTACAAACACACTTTAATCCTCAAGGATAAGACCTTAGCCAAAATTTTGTAAACACTAGTCACCAAGCTGATTGGTCTGAAGTCCTTAGGATGTTTAGCGACAGCCTTCTTGGGAATAAGAGCTACAAAAGTAGCATTGACTTCAGGGCTAACAACATGGTTATCCTCAAACTCCCTAAAGACCTCAAATAAATCATTTTTAACTATGTTCCAACAATCTTGATAAAAGGCCATTGTGAATCCATCTGGCCCAGGAGCCTTAGATCTATCCATTAGGAAAACTGCTTGTCTGATCTCTTCCTCCTCAAAATTTCTTTCCAGCCATCCCCTCTCCCTCTCAGAAAGATGTAGCCAATCTAGACCATCCACTTCCACCCTACAATCAAGAGGTCTTCTCAGAATTGACTTAAAATGATCTACAAAGCATTTGGCTATCTCTTCTTGAGAGGAGATTTCCTCTCCATCAATCTCAAGTTGTCCTACAAAATTTTTCCTCCTCCTCCCATTGGCCATCACATGAAAAAATTGTGTGTTCCCATCTCCTTCCTTGATCCATTTAATCCTTGTTTTTTGCCTCCATGAAATCTCTTCTCGCAACATGACCTCTTCTAATTCCTTCTTTAAATTCCATCTCAACTCCCGTTCTTGTGCATTCATAGTCCTTTGGGATTCCTTTTTGTCCAATTCTTCAATCTGAGTCAACAAGGAAGATTTTAAATCCTCTAACCTCCCAAATTGGTCCCTATTCCAAGCTTTCAATTTTGTCCTCAAGTTCCTTAGTTTTCTATGAAAACTAACTCCTTTCCACTTCACCCCCCTTAGCTCTTCACTCCACCAGCTCTCAATATTTTTTACAATGTCTGGGTGAGTCAACCACATATTCTCAAATCTAAAGGGTCTAGGTCCAGAGTCTAATGGTTCCTCTCCTAACTGAATAGGGCAGTGATCCGAAGTAGTAACTCTAGGTAACCCTTTAGCCATCAACCCCCTCCATTGATTCTCCCAGGCTTCATTAAACAAGAATCTATCTAGCTTCGAACATGTTGGGTTCTCCTGAAAGTTGGACCAGGTAAAGTTGGCTTGCAAAAGAGGAATCTCCTTCAACTCACAAGAGTTAATAAAATCATTGAATTTCCTCATGCTAGTAGTGATGGATTGATGAGGCTCATTTGACTCTGTTGTGAACCGAATAACATTGAAATCTCCACCTAAGCACCAAGGACCTTCCCATAACCCTTGAATGCCATACAACTCCCACAATTCATTCCTCTCTCTGTAATTATTGGGCCCATACACATTGGTTAGCAGCCAAGTAAAATCACCCTCCACCATTTTGAATTTCAGAGACACAGAGAAGTTACCTACTAATTCCTCAGCTGCTTCTACCACATCTTTCCACAAGGTAATTATCCCCCCTGAAGCTCCCCAAGAGGGAGTTGAAGCCCAACTAATCCCCCTTGATTTCCACACACTTCTAGCCCACCTTCTAATTTTGTCTCTTGTAGCATAACCACATCAGGCCTTTCCCTTCTAAGCATCTCTTTTATTAGTCTTCTCTTCCTTGCACTTCCTAAGCCCCTCACATTCCAGCTTATGATTTTCATTAGGAAATAGTAGAACCCCCTCCCAAACACCCTTACCCCCCCTTTACTTGAGACCCTTTCTTCTCTCCCCTCGGCCATTAAACTCGATAACAAAGAAAGCTTTTATTGATATAGAAGAAATTTACAATGGAGAGCAGCCTCAGCTACCCTTGTAACAATAACAAGAAAAAACAAAAAAAAACAAACCCAGAGCTTTGCTATTTAGAATTACAACCATGCCCAAAAAGTTTGTTCTCTTCTAACCCCTTGTTTTGCTAATTGACCTGCTAAATAGTTTGCCGACCTTGGAACCCATCGGATTGATATTTGCATATATTTTGACAGTCTTCTGAATTTTTTGATCCCATTTCTGAACCACCAAGGACTCTTTTCCTCTCCTCTCAAGCCAGCTTAGGATCACTTTAGAGTCCCCGCTAAAATGTTTAACCTCCCCTTTCAGAAAGAAAACCCTAAATTGCAAAGGCCCTTAAATTGCCAAGAGAGCTGCCATCTTTATTTCAATCTCAACTCCTTCCTGAATGACTCATCACAGATCACAACATCTAATGATGGGGAGAAAAGAATCCATGATGTTTGTTATAATTCAGATTAGTCAGTTTCATATCTGAACTTAAGGTAAAAGAGAAGAAGAGAAAGAGAGAGAGGGAGAGAAGAAGAGAAGAAGTAGAAGGAAAAAACCTGCTCGACCAGAGAGGAGAAAAAAACTTACTCTCTTAGGTCGGTCAGGATATATATATATATATATACACATATATATATAGTTTACTAAATAATAACAAAAGTCTGTTATGCTCCTATTTAAGTTGGGACACATCAGCACTAACTTAAAGACACATCACCATACTAATAAGATTCAAATGACCATTCTACCCTTATTTAGTCGATACTAACAATGTTAACCAGCAGGCCTTAACCATGTTGCTTTAGGCCTGTACTCACAACATTCCCTTGTTCATATGCCCCAATACTTCAGTTGGTTTTCTATTTACAAGCCAAATATTCCCACAACCAACTTGTTTTGCACATAAGCCAATTTGGTTGCTCACCCTGTGACTCATATCAAGCCAACTCCAACAGACAAGAAAGCAGAAAAAAGCTAGAAGAATGTTCCCAAGAAATGCCAACTAAACAATTAGAGGCATTTTTGGTATTTCTATCTAATAAAACTCTAATAAAGAAATTTGGTATTTTGTAATTTGGATTTTCTTGATAAGAAAATTTAGCCTTCTTTAATTAAAGACATTTTACTCCAAATTTTCAAGTGAATGAAAGTTCTGAGATTTGCATTTGCAATTTTGTTGTGGTTTGAGAAGAGTGACTCCACATTCCACTTCCCATGGTTAGTGAGACTGCTAGTTATCTTTCTATCTTCCCTCTCCAATTCCTTTTCTTCCTTATTTCTTGTCATTTCTGTGCGACAACCTTTAAAGCATCTTTTGCATTCTAGCAAGTCCTACAAACTAAGCAGCAAGGTCACCTTGGAGTTCATAACCATGTTGCAATCTGAACTAGGGTTCCATGTTGTTACCATTGTGGTGAATATCACCACTTTTGATTCCCCTAAGCTCCTTTTCCGGAGGAGGCTGCCAAAGGACAGTGTTATTGTGATTAGAACAGTATAATTGTCCAACTACTTATCATGGAAGAATTCTTCAGAATAATCAACAGAAGGATGTCCAACCCCCAGCAATTGTGGCATGTCTTATGGTGGATGATGTACAGGACTGTTTTCCCAATCAGTATAGATAAGAGAGAGAGAGAGAGAGAGAGAGAGAGAGAGAGAGACCAAAATGAGCTCATCATATTCTGGGTTAACCCGGACAGCCCAAGTCCTGCCAAGATGATGAAAAAGCCAACAATAAGTAAACCTCAAAAACTATTAAACGACCAAAAATACAGTATCCATACACGCCACCAACACTGAAATAGACATATCATAAGTCCCCACATAAAAATTTTGACATGACAGCACACAAAAGTTTAAACAGAACCAATGTCATCATGCATAAGCTCTATGAAAATGCTCATGCATGTAGACTGCCCAGTAGAATTAGAAGTACCAATGTGCATGACCAGGAAGCTCTCTGATAGGAATCTTTGGCATTCTAAGATCCCAAATACGTATTCCAGATTCATCCTCTGCACTGACCTGTGAAATTTGTCAACAATTTTGTTATTTCAATATTGAAGAAACACAAGATAAACATCATTATCAGATATAATAAAGTTTGACTTTTAAGCAGGACACCAGAGAATATAACTCTTGCAAACCAGAGAGTTATCTCCAGAATGCTCGCATGGGTCAATTTAAAGTTCGAATATTAAAGAAAAACATGTGCAGTAATAGCTAGTAATGGTTAGAAAGTTCAACTTATATTGGAAAATATGGTTCAATTCATACTGCAATTTTTCCAGCCACATTACTTTTGATCAGATAATGAAGAAAGTTTATTTTCTTTCTGCATGTAGCCCCTATGCAAAGAGATTGGGAAAATGATAAACTGACAGATTGAATTCTAAATGACATATAGCATTCTTTATTCAATTTAACGAAGTTTAGTATTGACTGATAAGAAAATATATATTTTCTTTTTTGATCAGTATGACTGATAAGAAAATATTGAATCAATAAATGGGCAATATGGATAAAACAGATGGAACAAAGAAATTTCTTGCATCTAAACAAAAAAAAAAAAAACCTATCCCAGAAAATGATCTTCACTTATTTTCTATTTTTAATGGAAATAGTATTTATGGACATGCTGGAGTTTCAGCTATGAATACTAGCAAAATTTATGAAACATAAAAGAGTATATTTTATTATTAAGCATTTCTGCAAATTATAATCGTGTAAATACTTAAAGAAAAGAACACAAGAAATTTACAGTCAGGACTGTAAGGATCTATGAGATTAACGAGGAACAAAGTGAAATCACTCCATGAGGCAAGCACTTACAATAATGTTCTGCTTTTTGGTGTTATAATCCACATTGCGAGCATGTGCATGCTCAATTGAATTCGTCTTCCTGGAAAAAAGAATTATGTGCAACTATATCTGTTAGAAGTGGAGCGTATATCTGATCATGCTAAATGTTTTAACATGCACGGAGAAACCTTGGGAAAACAATCTTGATTCTCAGGAAGAGCATCAGGAGTTAAGAAAAGCATTTGATCAAGATCCATAATTCTCAGGAAAACAATCGTGCCATATTTCCTCTGCCAAATGGAATCTGAATACCTTGACTTCTGGCAAAATTAGAGTGACCATTTTGATATTGTATAACAAGCCCAATAAGGCACAATTCATTCAAGACTTGAATTAAAGGCTAAACTACAAGCAAAATACAATAAGGAGTTCCAATTTTGGATCCTATTAGATATCAGTTTTCAATTTGTATAACTGATATCTGGCAAAATTAGAGTGCTCATTTTGATATTGTATAACAAGCCCAATATGGCACAATTCATTCAAGACTTAAATTAAAGGCTAAACTACAAGCAAAACACAATAAGGAGTATCCAATTTTGGATCCTACTAGATATCAGTTTTCAATTTGGATCCATTGTTTAGTTGCTACTTAATATATGTACCCAGTCTACCCCTCCCAATAAATGTTTTAAAAACCAACCCAGAGGCCGAACCGCTTTTGCCTCCAGGTCGTGGGTCACCAATTCAATCGTCTGGGTCAAACGGGTCAAACTGTGTCACACCAGCACTCTATATATTTAAGTATACTTGAATAAATAAAGCAAAATAGATTTCTGTTTTACCGTAATTCAGGGAAAAGAAGAAAGAAAAAACAACTAGGCTTCGAAGAGAAGAGAAGAAGAAGAAGAGAAGAGAGAAGAAAGAAGAAAGATGAGAAAGAAAAAGGGGTTAGGTTGACTTAATCTGCCGCCCCATAAGATATTATATATATTAGTCTCCTTACAAGAGTAGGAGTTACTCTAATTCCCCTACTTAAAATAAAACACAAATAAGCGAGGATAAACATGGCCCAACCGGCTCAACTATAGGAAATAAAAAATAACAAAATAAATAAGTGTGGGGCTGAAACCACACACTCTAGAAGCTATTAACTATCTCTACACTCCCCCCTCAAGTTGGGAATAGATGTTGGTCATTCCCAACTTGCGTAAATCTGTCTCCAACCTGTTTTTTGTGACTGCATGTCTGAGGCAATGTAAGGAAGGCACACTTCTTGAGATGCAACTCGCTCTCAGATAAAATGTTTGTCCACCTCGATATGCTTAGTCCCGTCATGCTGTATTGGGTTGTGGGCAATATTAATTGCTGCTTGATTATCGCAATACAACATCAAAGGCTTCCCATAATCAATTTCCAACTCATTAAGCAAGGATTTCAGCCATAACACTTCTGCAACACCATTGGCCATGGATCTGTATTCAGCTTCTGCACTAGAGCGAGCAACAACATTTTGTTTCTTGCTTCTCCAGGAAACAAGATTTCCCCCTACAAAAGCACAATACCCAGAGGTAGACCTCCAGTTGTCAACACATCCAGCCCAATCCGCATATGAATATACTTCTATTTTCATGTGACCACTATTCTTGAAGAATATGCCTCTCCCTAGGCATCTCTTCAAGTAAGCAAGTATCATTTCCACTGTAAGAAGGTGAGTGGTTCTAGGAGAATGCATGTACTAACTAACAACACAGACAGCATATGAAATATCTGGCCAAGTTAGGCAAAGATGAAGTAGTTTCCCAACCAGCCTTTGATACATAGCCCTGTCCTCAAGAAGTTCTCCACTTTCTGCACTTATTTTATGGTTTAACTCAATAGGTGTGTCAGCAGGCTTCACTCCTAAATTTCCAGTTTCCTCCAATAAGTCAAGAACATACTTTCTCTAAGAGATAAAAATGCCATGCTTAGATCGAACTACCTCAATTCCCGAGAAATAACACAATTCCCCTAAGTCCTTCACTTCAAATTCCTTGTGAAGATGTTGTTTAAGAGATTCAATCTCACTAGTATCACTCCCTGTTATCACAATGTCATCCACATAGACAACAAGAAGGGTCAGGGAAGAGTCTGTCTTCCAAAGCTAGTCTAAACCTATCAAACCAAGCTCTCGGAGATTGTTTCATCCCATATAAAGCCTTTTTCAGTAGGCAAACTTTCCTTCTTGTTTTTGTATTGTAAAAGCCAATGGGTAACTCCATGTAAACCTCTTCTTGCAAGTCTTTGTTGAGGAAAGCATTCTTAACATCCATATGAAATAGTGGCCATGAGAAGTTCGCAACAGTGGATAGTATGACTCTGATAGTGTTCATTTTTGCAACTGGTGCAAAGGTTTCCATATAGTCTATGTGATTAGTTTGTGTGAATTCCTTTACAACCAATCTGTCCTTGTACCTCTCTACAGAACCATCAGCATTATATTTCACAGTAAACACCCATCTACATCCAACAGGTTTCTTCCCCTCAGGTTGGTTAACTAGTTCCCATGTGTTGTTCTTAACAAGAGCATCCATCTCTGCTTTCATCACTTCCTTCCACTCAGGTATCAATAGAGCTTCTTGCACTATTCTGGGTATAGAAATAGTAGCAATAGATGCCAGGTAAGATCTATAGGATTCTGAGAGACAATCATAGGAAAGGAACTTGGAGATACAATGGGCAGTGGATGAGGTACAACGGCGCTTCCCTTTATGAATTGCAATCGGAAAATCAAGGTCATCTAAAGGAGGAGGCTGGGGATCAACGGTGTCAGGCAAAGTATCTGCAACTGTGGGCTCAACAATGGGAGCAGTGGTAATGTTTGGTTCTGGGGTTGTAGATGTTGGGATTGGCCCAGACTGCTATTGAGGACGGGACTCAACCTGCCTCCACCACTATCTATGATACACTCTCAACTCCTTGCACTTTTGACAACCCTCTTCACGACACTCGAGGCTGAAACTGAAATCCCTTCCTCAATACTCTCCCCCTGAGGAGAAGCCCTATGATAGTAGTGCATATCCTCAAAGAAGGTGGCATCCATGGACACGAAACATTTCCCTGAAAAAGGCTCATAACAGCAATATCCCTTTTGATTTTATGCATACCCAAGGAAAATACATTTAGTGGCTTTGGGATCAAATTTTGAGCGATGAGGTCCAAGGATTTGAACAAAACAAGTACACCCAAAACTTTTGAGGGGAACAGTAAACAGGTCATTGTCTGGGTACAGAAGGTTGAATGGTATTTTCATGTCTAGAACCTGTAAAGGAACCTTGTTAATAAGGTAAACAGTTGTACAGATTGCATCCCCCCAGAAGTGTCTGGGAACATTTGAGTTGAGCATGATGCTTCTAACTACCTCTAAGATATGTCTATTTTTCTCTCAGCGACCCCATTCTGCTGATGTGTACGAGGACAGGTGCTCTGATGCATGACCCCATGATCTAGGAGATAGGATGCCAAGGGTTTTGCAAAGTACTCCTTGGCGTTATCGGATCTAAAAATTTTGATCTTGATTTCAAACTGGGTCGGAACTATCTAATGGAAAGCCTAGGTCAGAGAAGGGACCTTATCTCGAGAGTGCATAAGGTAAACCCATGAGAAGCGGTTATAATCATCAACAAATAACAAGAAGTATCGGTACCCCCCCATGGTGGAAGTATGGTATGGCCCCCAAACATCTGTATGCACAATTTCAAAATGAATGTTGCTTCTTTTATTACTCAAAGGATAAGTTGATCTACAGTGTTTTGCAAGTTCACAACTTTCACACTTCAGACTAAACACTTGGACTGACTCAAATAAATTTGGAAACAAACTCTTCAAAGACCCAAAAGATAAATGACCTAATCGATTATGCTAAAGCATAATCTGACTCCAAGACTGAGAGACAAACAATTTCCCAACTTCACTCTGCTTCCCTTAAGGATGTTTAAGCAGGTAGACTCCATTCATCTCACGGCCAATCCCAATCACCTTCTTTGTTTCCAGATCCTGAAAAACACAACGATCAGGAATAAAGGTTATTGAACAGTTTTGACTCTTAATAATACTACTAACTGAAAGCAAGTTAGCCCTAAGTTTAGAAACATGCAAAACTGAGGATAGGGATATGGCATCAGACAGTTTGATGTCTCCCTTACCAGAAATTGGCACAAGGGAGCCATCAGCAATAGATACTGTCTCTTCCAGAGGATAAACAATAGGTGGTAAACAAAGTAGATAAACTGGCCATATGGTCTGAAGCACCTGAATCTATTACCCAGAATAGTCTAGTGTTACCTGGGACAGAAACATGGCATGTTGTAGCTCTTGTACCTATGTGAGCAAGGGCTGAAGTAGGATTAGCAGGTGTGGTAGCTGAAGGTTGAGATGTAGATCCAGAAATACCAGCTTCATTCTCTAGTTGTGTCAATGCAGCCTGGACAGCAACTTAAGCATCCAAGGATGTGGTCCTTGTGTTGGAAGAAGATGTACTGTCTGTAGTAGTTGCCACATTAGCACTCCCCTTCTTGTTTCTAAGTCTCACTGGCATTAGGTGAGGATGCAACTTCCAACAAGTGTCCCTAGTGTGTTTAGGCTTCTTGCAATAATCACCGTTTCTACTGTTGCTACAGTAGTCCGAACCAGTAAGGAGAAGAAGAAAGAGAAGGAGAAGAAGAAGA